TTGCATAAGCCCGCTGGATAGCTTTTTCAAAGCAGAAGGGCGGGCTAAAAACGTCAAAAAACTGGTGAGAACCATTCTGTGCTGCTTCGCAACGCCGCGACGGTTGCCAAGGGCAGCAGTGAGACACAACCGTTTGGCACACCGCTCGATGCGCCGTCCCCGTCACCGGCCTGTGCAAATCACATCTCCGGGCAAAGTCCGGCGCTACAACAAAGTGGGTCACCGTTATATTTCCTCCTCGTCTCCGCTTCCTTATTGCACCCCCTTCCCAACAGTTTACTTTATTTCTTTCATTTATTTATTTTTCTGTTTTGTTTCGCGCACACGTTTGCCAGCAGCGGCGTCCGAGCATTTGGCCTCGTAATCCATTCCACCGGGTAGCAAATGAACAAACTTTCGCGGTGAGGAGAGGAACAAGGGGGGCTGTAGAGCGAGAGAGAGCGAGAGAGAGCGAGAGAGAGCGAGAGAGAGAGAGAGAGAGAGAGAGACAGAGAGACAGAGACAGAGACAGAGAGAGACAGAGACAGAGACAGAGAGAAGGGGAGAAAAAGACTGAGCGCGCGCAGGGGTTTGTTGTGTGTTATGACTTCTTGATATGGGCCTGATGCCGGGCGTGGCAGGGCTTGGTGGGGCGCGGAGGGGTTGCGCCGCTGCATGAGGCGCCCCTTGCAGCTGCGAACGACGGCCCTGCTCGGCCCGGTCGGCATCCCCCCCAAAACTGTCCCCGAAGTGTCCCGAACTGTTCCGAACTGTCGCCAGCCTGTCGCGGAGAGGCCGGCCCGAGCGCGGCGAGCGCGGCGGGCGCGGGCGCCTCCCCTGTCCTGTCCGACACAGCCCCTGCCTCGCCCCCGCCTGCTGCGCCCCGCCCCGCCAGCCGCGCCCCGCCACGCCCGGCGAGGCGCGGAGAGACCCTTGCGCGGCTACACGGCCGTTGGTGCGTTGGCGTGTCCCGCCGGGCCCGCTCCCGGGGGATGCTCTCTGGGTCCCACAAGGGGCTTAACAGCTTGGACCCCGCCCGCCCCCCGTCCGCCCCGCACCCATCCCGCCGAGCCGTGGCCCCTCCCGGATGGGACCCGGACCTGAGATTTTGCAGGTGCTGCTGGTGGTGCTGCAGTTGTCAGCGACGACCAACGAGCTGCCCTGCTCGGCCACCTCTCTGTTAAGAAAAACCGTCTGTTTTCATTCAAACCTGCGTTGGAAGTGAGAAAATAGATTTCGAGATAGATTCGACCCAAAAATCGACGCCAATCGTAACGCTCAGTTTTCCCATGCGTACCTGACGTGGACCTTTTTTGGAAAGTAATATGCCTTCAATGAGTGATCCTCCTTGAGAAATGATCCATGATATGTCCTGCCACTTTTAGCAATTACTCTAATTCCAGGGTGTCATCGTTTAGCCTAACCTTTGTCACTGCGCTTACTTGTTCACGCCTGTGTTTTGGACTTCCGTGGGCATGAACCATTTTGTTTTTTAAGATGAGTATACTGTTCTGTGTTACATAATATTGTAACCCTGTGATTGTTCTGAATCGGTGTCCGGTACAAAAACGTTTTCGATACACCGATACCGGCTAGATACACAAGGACCCGACGCTCTCCTGACACAGTTTCAAAAACTTGTTGGCTCCCCCACGCGCTCCTGCCGACCAGCTCTGTGCGGTTCCTGCCGCCGCCGCGCCGTGGGGTCCGCGATACGCATCGCAACAACTCATCTCGCCTTCCATTACGTGAAACATTATCCCTCGTGTGCAGCGGATAGTCTTACAAAACGGGAGGCCGAGGGCGGCACAAGCAGCCGCACGGCCAGCGCAGCCTCCAGATGACAACAGGAGTTCACGTCGGCATCGCCAAAACTGACTGGAGCAGCAGAGTGTGCTCCGTTTTCAAACAGTTTGGGTTAATTTCGAGCCAGAGTACTGACATCCACTTTTCCCATTCAGTTAACTTTTATGCGCAGTGAATGTTTTCGAAGGACGCGCAAAATCCGAGCCGCGCGTTGCGCCGCGGACTTCATCCCCCTGCTCCTCCCCGCCCTCGCCATCGTCGCGGCACGACGACCCTCTCCTCGGGGGTCAAAGAGGAGGAGGGCAGGAGGCAGCGCCAGAGAGCCGTGCCGGGGAGAGCCGAAAGTTATTTGTAACCAGATAACTTGCCGAAATAAACCTCGGCCGGCAGGCCCCAGTGTCGCACCCTGTTGCCTCTACTCCCAGCCGGCCCATTTTCAAAACTTTTCGCCATAAAGCGCGCGTGGACCCTTTTCCCATTGCTTCTTTTCTCTGCCCCGGTCTCTCTATCCCTCTCTCTCCGCGTGTCTCCCCTTGCCCCCCCCCCC